GAAAACTGCGCAATTTCACATGGACCCCAAAGCCCAGACCCCCCAGCCATTAAAATAATCGCAAGAACGGCTACAAAAAGGAAGGCAAATGTTCTTTGCAATAAGGAAGTTGTCCCTGACAATTCCTCTAAGACATCATTGGAATCTACTAAGGATGATGAACGCAAAAGACCCTACAGAGATGTCCCTCCACATCTGCTAAAGTTAAGTAAAAATAGATATCCTGCTGAACACTTAGGCCCGTACGAGGTTCGCATTGAGGGCTTTATATCTGATAAATATGTGTCTTCTAACATTTATCCACCCACAATAAGTGAGCTTCAATTGGGAAAAGTTGCTTTAGCAAAAATTGGCTCCCTTTGGAATGAAGCTTATGATTTGAGAAATGTTGGACACAGTAAGTTTTCAGTTAAATTCAATAGTATAGAATCAGCCAACAAAATCGTAAAAAAGTTTATGGACGCAAGAGACCAACTATTTGCTCATTCTGATTGGGTAGCCTATATACCCAATTACAAGATTCAGCGTATGTGCATCACATGGGATTTTGACTGCATAGAATCAGTAGATGAAATAGTAGAGAACTTAGCGCCCCCTCCTGGATGGCGTAAACCATGGCCGAAAACTTTATCTGCAAAGAATATCCCAAAAAGCGATACTGACTCTAGTTCTAAAAGAAAGAAAAATAGTGTCTTTCTTATTACTTTTGAAAGTTCCATATATCCAGATAAAGCATCCCTTTATGGAAAAGTCATTACACACTACAGCCTTACACTCAGAAAGTAATAAGATGCCATCGTTGTCAGAGATTTGGACACGTAATTGAACAATGCCGTAGTAATAAAGACTCGATAATATGCTCTAAATGTGCAACTAAAGGGCACGAGAGCACGAACTGCACTTCACTAACAAAAAAATGTATTAATTGCAGTAGAAGAGGAATAGAGGGAGCAGCTCACTCACGCGTGCAGCTTAATATGTCCTGTCTTCATTGAAAATAAGAAAATTAAGCAGTTAATGACGATCCTTGGGATCAGCAATCGCGACGCTGTAGATTTCTATAAGAGATACGTCAGCGAGATCCCTGATTCCTGGTTCTCCAACTCCTATAATCGTCTAAACGCTTCCTGTAAAGCAGAAAGCTTTAATGCTTTCATTTCCAAGTATATTCTGTCCATGTTAGTCTCGTATAGTTCAGCTCTATCAAATCGTAATAATAATAACACTTCTACAATTAACTTTAAGGAAGACTTTAACAGCTTCCCTAACATTCAACAAACATATGCTTCAACATCTAAATTAGATAAAAACAAAGAGTTCTTAATGAGGAAACAAAGAGGGTCCCCCTTCAAAAGAAAAGTTAGATTTTCCCCTGTTATCACTTATACTTCTTCATCTGACTCTCCTATCTCACTGGAATCGCCTTGCACTCCGCCTAGTGAATCTATAGATTCTGTTGATGCAGAGGAAATTCTCGTCCTCAACCTCTAATATTAGGACCTTAACTTAGTTTCCGCCCGCAAATGTTAAATGGCAATGCAAACAGTTCTAGTAGTCATTACTAACGAAACAGGTAGTTTGTGATTAATTTCGACATTTCTCGATAACATTCAGTCAGCATACACAATTATTTTCCTAAACAACAATTTCTTTTGCTTTGTGAAAAATGGAACGCGATAAAGTGTTTTTTCGACATGTGCTTTTGCACTATTTTGATTTGAAAAAAAGTGTAGCAGAAGTTCATCGATTACTTGAAGAAGGTTATGGTGATCGAGCTCCATCACATACAACATGTAAAGAGTGGTATAGACGATTCAAAAGTAATGATTTTGATGTCAATGACAAACCACGCTCAGGACAGCCAAAAAAATTCCAAGACGATGAATTGCTAGCATTATTGCATGAAAACTCGGCTCGAACGTTACAAGAACTTGGAAACGAGCTAGGAGTTACTGAAGCAGCTGTTTCCAAACGTTTACACGCCATGGGAAAGATCCAAAAGGAAGGAAGATGGGTACCACATGAATTGTCTGAAAGTGCCATTCACAACCGTTTCAATATCACGGTTTCGTTGCTTGCCAGGCAAAAAAAGAAGAGTTTTCTGTGGCGTATTGTGACTGGCGATGAAAAGTGGATCTACTACGACAATCCCAAACGCAAAAAATCATGGGTAGACCCAGGACAACCATCAACATCGCAGCCAAAACGGAACATCCACGGTCATAAGGTAATGCTTTGCATTTGGTGGGATCAGCAAGGAGTGCTGTACTACGAACTGCTGAAACCAAACGAAACTGTTACTGCCGATGTCTACAAATGTCAATTGAACAAATTGAATGATGAGCTGTTGCGAAAAAGACCAGCAATAGCGAGTAACAGGCGCAAAGTTATTCTCTTACACGATAACGCTCGGCCACACACTGGAAAAACCGTCAAAGAAACACTGACGCAGCTCGAATGGGAAACTCTTCCTCACCCAGCGTACTCACCAGACATAGCGCCTTCTGATTACCACTTGTTCAGATCGATGCAGCACGGCTTGAGTGGTACACGCTTCCGAAATGTTGAAGAAGTGCGAGAATGGGTGGACGAATGGATTGCTTCGAAACAAACATCGTTTTATCGAGATGGTATCGCCCAGTTGCCAGAAAGATGGCAAAAAGTTGTAGAAAGTGATGGAAAATACTTTCATTGAAATAATTTAAATAAATTTTTTACAATAAATGCTTTTTCTCAGTATTTTTTGGGCGGAAACTAAGTTAAGGTCCTAATACTTCTTCTGTTTCAAAATACTCTGAAAATCATATAACCACTTTCAATACTGCTAAATACTCATATCTACAAAAAACATACTATCTCTAACTAATTCATTCAATGCATTAATAAATAATATGATTAATTCGAACGAAGAAACTAGCCCTAATTCTCTGTTAATATCAATCTCAACTCAACTACAAGATATCAAAACTGCTCTTGGAGCCTCTTAAAAAGATAATTTTTACTTTCAGTTAATATTATGGGTAAAAATAATAAAATTAACATTTTGCAATGGAACTGTCGTTCACTCAGAGCTAGAGAATTCGATCTTATTAATCTGTTATCACAGTATAAATCTTCGCTACATTTTATATGTCTCAGCGAGACTTGGATGGATGATACATCCATTTTCAATATCAAAGGATACAGTATAATCAATGCTAATAGATCCCGCTCATCTGGAGGTAGTGCGATTGCATACCATAATGATATAGATGTTAGAATCTTAAATTTAAGCTCCAATACTTGTACCAATAAGGCTAAACTGGTTTTAGATCTGGACATATGCGGTCTTAAGTTCCTTGATGGTAGTAAGGAATTTTGCCTGTTTTCATTATACTGTCCTCCTGCTTCTTCTCGATATATAGGGGAAAATATAGCCGAGATCTGGTTAGATGTTCTTGCGTTTTTAGACTCTTTTAATAACACCTTAGTTTGCGGAGACTTTAATGGCTCGCACTATTCTTGGAACTCAGGTTGCAACTCACATAATATCACTGGTAATACTATTTACAACGACTTATCTGGCCTGAATCTTATGGTTGCTAACCTCGGTGAACCTACTTGGTCATCCGCTAATGGTCAAATCTCAAGTTCCCCTGATCTTACTCTGGTATCAAATAACTTAATAATGTTACTCGACTGGAAAGTCTGTGAAAATAAGCATGGAAGTGATCACTTCCCAATATTCATTTGTATTAAACCCTTCTTACCAGGTTGCACATGAGACCACATTTTGTGATCAGCAACGTGGACTGGATTCAATTCTCTCAACGACTAGAAGAGACGACTAAGCATCTACAAGGCAATTTTAGCCTAGAAAAACATTATGACCCTATTAAGATTTATACGGAATTAGAGAACAATATATACAAAGCTTTGCTTGATGCGGGTGCTAAGAAACCAAAAGAATCGCTGTTTAAAAGAAGACCTCCCTCGCCTTGGTGGGACGATAAATGTAAAGAGATTATTCAAAAAAAACTCGCATCCTATAGGAAGTTTAAATTGTTCCCCAACTCTGAGAATTTAGCTGCTTATCAGAGGAAAAGTCGTATTTCCAATAATATGCTTAAAAAAATAAAGAAAAATTTAAGTTTTTTTGTAACTCTTTGAACTTCAACTCAGAACCGAGGAAAGTCTGGAGTATTTTGAAAACATTTAGCAATAGCAAAAGAGTTGTGGATTTAAATGCTAAAGCGCTTGAAAATAAGAAGGAACAAACTATTTCCTCCTTCACTGAAACTATTTCATCCAAATCGCCATCTCCTATCAATAATAGTTTTTTACAAAACCTCGTGTTACCCTCTCAAGTAAGGCTGCAGCATCTTCCTTTAAATGCCTTGGGTGGTAAAGATTTGCTTTCCAACTCGATTAGCAATCTTGAATTTACAGCTGCGTTAAAATAACTCTCGAAGAAAAATCATCTCCTGGTCCTGATCATTTAATTTGGAAAATTATTAGTCACTTCCCTAAAACTGTTAATGATATATTATTAAAACTATTTAATGACTTTTTCCTTAGTGGTAAGATTCCTCCCTCATGGAAGAAGTATATTTTAATTTTTATACCGAAAGGTGATAAGAAAGGACTTAGACCTATTTCGCTAGCAAATAACCTTGCTAAGCTATATGAAAAAATTCTTCATCATAGGATAGAATGGTGGACAGAGAACTCGGGAATCGTTCCGTCGTTCCAAAGAGAGTTCCAAATCGGCAAGTCATGTGCTCATAATATCCTAGATCTTAAATACTATATACAAAAATCTTTTAAACAAAACCAAAAAACGGGAGTTATATTTTTAGATATCAAAGGAGTATTTGATAATGTAAACCCAAATAAACTATGTTGTATTATGGATCATCTAGGATTTCCTAAGAGTATTACATTAGCTGTCCAAGCGTTTTTATTTAATAGAGAAGTTGAATGCTTCTATGAAGGGAGCTCTCTTGGAGTGAGATCCACCTCGATTGGTCTTCCTCAGGGGTCGGTTTTAAGCCCCATACTCTATCATATATATACTTCAGGAGTAGCATTAGGTTTAGAAAAAAGCATTAGAATTCTAGCTTATGCAGATGATTTGGTAATCTTTTTCAAACACAAATCTATTAATTGTATTACAACCAAATTAAACTACAATTTACAACTAATAGGGAAAAATCTCTACGATTTAGACTTACAGATATCAGCTCCCAAAACAAAATTTTGTATTTTTGATAAGTCTACTAGATTTTCTACCATAGAAAAAAACTTATTCTTCATTAAGGCAGGATACCACCTTTGATTGCAATTTTGGAGGCGTTTTTCATGATTTTTTTTTTCATACAAAAAATGCGCAGAAAGAAAATCGGTTTTAGCCATTCATTAAGACAATCTTAAGCTGCAATAAAAAATTTTTTAATGTCGAAAAAGTAAAAAATAGCCTCTTGTAGGTGGGGCCAAAGTATACGGCTTTTGAGGAACACCGTCAGTCTGCGTGTCAAATTCCTTCTTCTACGTGGCTCCTAGAACAAAAATCTAAATTTTTTCTTATTAATAACAATATGTTTTAAGTCTGTACGTAGGGACTTTACGAAATTTCGATTTTTAAGAAAATGGCGGTCATTAAAAAAAAAATTCAATTTTTCAGGGTAAAAAAAGTTTATAAAACTGTGCACCAAAAATAAAATAACAACGCTACAGAGAAAATCCTACGTACATCCTTAGATTATACCATAGGGAAGAATTATGCAAAGTTTCAAGTCAATCCGATGAAAAATGGAAGACTAATTTGACACGCAGATTTAAAAAATATCGTTTCGAGAAAAACGCGTTTAAAGTTTTACATACATGAAACTAATAAATATTTTCAACTAACCGTCAATCTGCAATACCTGCGCCATACAGGATACCTTCAGCATCTATTTCTTCTTCATTAGCAAGCTTGTGAGCAGAAACACCACTTCTTCTAGCCTCTCGAGCAGCTTCAGTAATCGAAACCTCCGCTCTCTGAATACGATAATTATCGGCTTTTATACAAAAATCGTAGCAACTTTGACTTATAGGTAGGTTCAAAGTTTGCATAATGTCCATAATGCTCTGTAATCCATCATTAAAATTACATACTGCAATATCAGCAGCAATGTCGATGATTTTTTTGCCACTGGACATGGTTTTAGGAGCGAGCGCCCACAGAACAGAATTGAAACACTCGTTGCTGTTCTGCGTAAACCCACCCAAACACCTGGTGTTATCCTGGCTGAGTTCTTCATAAATGAATTTAACAGCATTGAAAACTTCGTCTTTCATTGCTGATTTGTGTTGATAATTGACGAGTTCGTTGCGAGATTTAGCCTTTTTCCACGAGCACCAGGAATTTTCGCCATCTGGACATCTATCGTGCTGCGGGTTGTCGTCCGTGGAAATCTTGTGATAAAGCGTGGCCCATATTTCTTTCTTCATATTAACAATTGAATTATGATTTCGACGTATTGCCAGACCAAAATATAATGATAGATCATCAATTAATTTTCCGGTTAGTTTGCCTTTGCCACCAAGACCTCGTACATTTTTTTTCAAATTCCGAAGTCGCGTTCCCATCCTCTTTTGAACGTGGTCGATACATTCTTTTTTCTTGACGTCCAAATTTTCATATGGATTCGAGTCTAAAATACCTTTAAATGTTTTACTGTCTCCATCT